GGAGGCAGCTACCTCAGCCCGGCTCCAGGAGACACCAGCAGCTGGGCCAGTGGCCCAGAGAGGTGGCCCCGGAGGGAGCATGTAGTGACAGTCAGCAAGAGGTGAGGGCAGTCCCTGCCCATCCCTGCCCCGTCATCTCGGACTGTCTCCCCAGCCCTCTCCTGACACCTCCTGCCTTCTCTGCTCCGCTCCCACTGTGGCCTGAATTCGGGAAGTTCAGGTTCAGGCTTTTCTGGCCACCCTCCATCCCCCACCCACCCACGCCAGACATTTGTCTCTTTTTACAGGAGGGACACATCTGTGGACGAGAACTATGAATGGGACTCGGAATTCCCGGGGGACGTGGAATTGCTGGAGACCCTGTACCTGGGCTTGGCTGGCCCTCGACCCGGACCTGAAGCTGAGCCAGAGCTAGGTGTGTGAGCCTCCAGAAAGGCAGGTGCTCCTGGCCTTGCTGTTCCACCACCCACAGCCTTAGGACCCAACCTGTTCCCGGTTGCCCCCTGGGGTCATGGGACCTGCCGGCCCTGGGGAGCTTCATGGTGCCAGTGAACCTCAAGACTCTTTCCTCTCCTCGTTCTGCCCTCCGCTGGCAGGTGCCAAGACTCCAGAGGTGGGCTGCCCCCTGAGCGCCGCCCCGGCTCCCGGCCCCGAGGCCCGCTGTGCTGCCCTGCGGGAGGAATTCCTGGCCTTCCGCCGCCGCAGAGATGCCGCTAGGACCTGGCTCCCTGCCTATCGACAGCCAGTCCCCCATCCTGAACAGGCCACTCTGCTGTGAACACCCTCACGTGAGGCAGCGTGAAGGCACAGGGACCCTGTGAAGGAGGCCCCAACCAGACCTAGCTCCGCCTGGGCAACTGCCCCTGCCCCTTGGAGGCCCAGGCACAGACCCTGATGGTGGGCTGGGGTGGGCGTGGTGTGGGATGGATGTGCTGAGCCTGGGCACTAGGGCGGGGTCCTAGGTCTGCTGGAGGGTGTGTGTGTGTGTGTGTGTGTGTGTGTGTGTGTGTGTGTTTGTGGTGTGGGTGAGGTTTTATACAGGTGAATAAAGAAAGTCTGGAAAATGTTTCTATGTTGTCTGACTTTGAATCTGAGAGGGAGGGGGGGGATCTCGAACCCTTAAAAGGCGGGCATTCTTCCTAAATGAATGGAGGAGCATTCAACATCCATTCAAAAAGCATGTATTGAGCGCCTACTGAAGTCAGCGACCAGAGACCAGCCACCAAGCTAGATGCTGAGAAAATACAGAGTTCACTAAGTCAAGCCCTCCCCTTGGGGGTTCTTTCCAGTCGGCAGACGGGAGAAATAGCTGCAGCATGATGCGATCAGTTCCGTGATAAGGCAATGCCTTAGTTATTGTGGTAGCACAAAGGAAGGAGTCAGCAGGGAACGCTTACAGCCTGTGCTGGGACCAACGCTTCATGTGGGGGATCCTCGGAGCTTTCCGAGTGGGAACAAAGATAGCGAACAGCCGAGCACTCTGACGTGTAGGCACTGCTCTCCAAGCCGTACTTGTAGCAGTTCATTCTCTAGGTGGGGAGGTAGTACTATTAGACCAGGGAACTGAAATGAAGAGGGCGTGGGGGGGAGAGCAGGTGAGGATGAGTCAAGGGCCCAAAAGCACCCCAGGCAGAGGGGACGGCCTGAGTGAAGGCACGTTGACTGGCTTCTAGGGAATGGCCCGAGGCCCTGGAATGTAGGACTGAGTAGGACTGTGGAAGAGAGAACAGAAAGGTGGAAGGACAATGGTGGGTGTCCTTGAAAACCAGGTGAAACTGGCTTCTACCATACGCGGATATAAGGGGGGACTCTGCCTGAAAGGGGGGAGCACGCCTTTAGCCCCCACACTGCCCTCCTCCACTCGCAGGAGCACTGATAGCCTCCTCCACTGGGGAGGCGGTGGAGGGGGGAGCAGTCAGGTCTGAACCCTGGGTCCCAGCGCTGATTGATCACACGCGTTGGGCACCACAAGCAATGACCTCACTGAGTTTTCCTGCCTCGGCTTGAAGTAGGTGCGGGTGCTGTCCTGGCCTGCCAGCCCCAGTCCTGTCACACCCTAGTCAGTTGGGGGGAGGTGCGTTTTCCTGGGCCTCCGTTTACCTAACCACCCTTTTTAATACCTATATGTTTATATCAGAGAAGAAGGGAGAGGGCTAGAGAGATAGAAACATCAATGATGAGAGAGAGTCATTGATCAGCTGCCTCCTGCACATCTCACACTGGGGATCGAGCCTGCAACCTGGGCATGTGCCCTGATTGGGAATCCAACCGTGACTTCCTGGTTCATGGGTTGATGCTCAACCACTGAGCCATGCCACCTAACCTAACCACCCTTTTTATTCTTTATTGATTTCAGAGAGGAAGAGAGAGGTAGAAACATCAATGATGAGAGAGAATCACTGATCGGCAGCCTCCTGCATGCCCCCAACTGGGGATTGAGCCCACAACCCGGACATGTGCCCTTGACTGGAATCGAACCCGGGACCCTTCAGTCCGCAGGCTGACGCTCTGTCCACTAAGCCAAACCGGTAGGTCAGGACCTAACCACCCTTTTCAAACCAAGAGGATTTTCCCCACATAAACTGGCCGAAGTCTTGAAAGTCCCCACTGGGGCACGCCTCTCCTGGCTCTAGGGTTGGGTAGAGGTGGTCCTGGGTGAAGGCCACTGCCGCTGCCCTAGGAGGCCCTGACCCCCCAGATCCTGTAACCAAGGTCCCATCCACAGCCCTTCCCTTCTAACCTCGGTCAAGGCTCCCGCTACGGCGCCTTTAAACCCTCCCAGTCCTCGCCCCGCCCCGGGTCCGCCCCGTCCGAGGCGGGAGCCGCTGAAAACCCCCAGCCCAACCGCTGCGATCCATTCGCCCTGCAGCCCCGTCCGCAGTGCGCACTCTCTTGCCCGCCCGACGGTAAGGAGGGTTTTTTAATGGCGTGTGTGTCGTGTGTCGGGGGCGGGGGGTGGGGGGGTGCTCTCGCGAGAAGCTCCCTCGGCGACCAGCTGCACTGAGGTTGGGGACCGACCAGAGGCTGGGAGGCCAGGTCCGATGGCCGCGTCGCCCCGCGCTGTCAGGGTCTGCCCCAGCCCTGGCGGCATTGCTGGGCCATGAGGTCAGGCCTGTTGCGGTGCACAGACGGGGCATCGGCCCTGAGCAGGGACCTGGGGTCTGCACCCCGCGCG